GTTTTCCCGAGAAATTTGGTGCAGTCGATTTTTGGTAAAAAAGGAAGGTTATACACTGCCTTTTTTTGAGCCCCGAAAAAAAATTGTCTCAGATCGATCCGGAAAAAAAAATTTCTTATAGAATGTGGCCTGTAGAATCCATAATTTCAAACAGTTCCAAGATTGGGCTACTAGTTCAAAAGTTACAGCCCTTTGAATTTTTTTTCGAAATTGGTTTCTAGTCTATAACTTTTGATTGAGAAGTCTGATCGAAAAAGTACGAATTGTTTTGGATTCTGCGCACCAAAATTAATAAGAAAAAGTGTTTTCCCGAGAAATTTTGGTGCAGTCGATTTTTGGTAAAAAAGGAAGGTTGTACACTGCCTTTTTTTGAAGCCCTCAAAAAAAATTGTCTCAGATCGACCCGGAAAAAAATTTTTCTTATAGAATGTGGCCTGTAGAATTCATAATTTCAAACAGTTCCAAGATGGGGCTACTAGTTCAAAATTTACAGCCCTTTGAATTTTCTTTCTAGTCTATAACTTTTGATTGAGAAGTCTGATGGAAAAAGTACGAATTGTTTTGGATTGGAAAAAATGAGGGAACGTACAGTGGCAGAGGGAATGGACTCACATAGAAACTGCAGGGTAGACAAAAAGATTAATTCCGACAATCGACACGTGTAGGTGCAGAATACAACAGGGCATACAAATTATTTTGTTGGTTCCATTTTTGAGCGGTCCCATGGTTGCCTCAGGGTGAATAAAGAAAAAAGACTTTCTTTGAATGGAGTTAGAGGGGAACAGACAGCGAGAACAAGCCATGGGGAAAATAGGGGAGAGCACACCAAATGTCTAATGGAGTTAGCGCTCAGAAATAGCTTTACATGGACCTACAGTTTACATAGAAAGGACTGCATGACATCTTTATATGTAGGAATGCAATTTATGCAATCGAAGTATATCCATTCTTATTTGAAATTTTAATTACCTATCTACATATTTTCTATTTCACGTAATCATACAAAAATCATTTCAAGTTTTACATTTAACCAAAGAATATTATTAGTTACTCTTTGTTTTAACTCTGTTTTTCTATGTATTTTAGCCACTCCAACAATCTGGGCTTAAACTGCTAAGATGATTGAAATGGGGGTGTAAAGTAAAGCATTGCTAGGATCATGCTGAGAAACTTGTAGTCACAGAAACACCTGTTGTAGGTGGTTTTTTACTGTATTTTTTTTACCTAAAACACCACTCAAGGTTTTAAACAGTCTGCCATGATCTAAAATCGGCTGAAACGCTATCCGAAACTGTAATTAAAACAACTAAAACTATGCTGAAACGTTTCTGAGTAATGCAGCTCTCATTTTGCCTTTATATATACATTCCGGCTTCCGATGGGCAGGTACTCGGGATAACGTTTGTTATGTTCTATATATAAAAAAAACATGGCCGTTTTTCTGAACATCGAGTCAGGATACATACTTTTGACTTCAGTCATAGGGCTCTATGCTTCAGTATAACAGTAAATTAGCCAAGTATTCATTGAAATAAATTGAATGTAAGATGCCACTTAACACTCTGAATACGCTAGGACTATATGAGTTACCCCTTCGCTATCATGCTCTGTTGCCCCAATCATACACATGAACAACGAAAACGTACAAAATTCAATTCACACTATAGTCGCAGACAATCAGATATACAGAAAATGTGATTTCATAAAGGAGTTTTATCTATGCCAAGGAAGTGTTAAAAAACCCAATTGCATTAATTTAAATTTCAACATGATTAATTTATACATGCAATTACTTCCGCACTTGCTTATTAGGTTTAGCTGTTGTACTGGTCATCAGAACAAACGACACAGGCAACACGATTTACAATAAAATTATTGAAATGGTGGGGTTGCGGGGTTAGTCTATATACAATCACTTTTGTTAGGAACTTTTTAATTTGAATATAAAACTTATAAAATTTAATATAAAATCTCTTTACCTATTTATCACCGATATAGTTAAGTGGCAAATTTGCACCTGAGATTATTTAATAAACAGACCGTAACGATCACTAACTTGCGTGCAATACAAAAGAGCAGTTTCATAGACGATATCATTATGTTACCACAGAAATCACAGTTCATCTACAGAAAGAACAAAACAAGAAAGAGACTGCTGTTTTTTGTATTGCGTGGCAATGACTTTCAGTCTTATTCAATGTTAGATCTAACAATAGGGAAAACTTACAGGAACTAGACAAACAAAAACATATAAATAGGTAAGAAAAACAAATAAATCAAATTTCAAAATCAATACTTAAATCAAACTAAAATATAACTCTGTAACGTGCAAAAAGTGACGGCAGTGCATCTAATAATTTTTTGTATAGTACAAAATCATACGTGCCAATCATGAACGGTGGCGACTACCTAACTAAGGTCTGACGGCACCTGCCACGAATAGCACTATGATTTTATACCCTACAAACTCGAGTAAAGCTATAACGAAATATCAAACAAATAAAAAAGCCTTTGTGAAAAGAGTTACCCCAAATTCGATTACAGGCCGGATTGTAACAAGGGTAATAATTTTATAAAGGCTAAATATTAAAGGAACACAAAAACACTTATTACTAAATGAAGAATACATTTCTGTAGCTTACACATTCATCATTTATTCTTCTTTGTCAATCCCTTTCTGTGACATGGTACTTATTTCACCAAGTCCCTGTTTGCGTATCGATGTTAAACTGAAGTGTTGCATATTTCAACAAGGTGTGCATCACAGATTGATTACTCCTCACTTGACTAAATCTACGTTTTACATAAGTACCATAACAACATATATTTAATTAATACTGAACATATACTTACGCACCAACAAACTTTATAACATAATTTAGTGAGTATCATAAAATTTGTACTAACCAAAAGATAATCTAACAACTATAATAAAATAATACCACAGTTAGCTTTAATTAAATCTGACAAAGTTGCTAAGATTGTTTCTTAATTAATGCTGTCAAGAAACCTCAAACGAATAACAATTTCTGTTTCTAAATGCACTTTAATGTCTTTGGTTCATATTTTTAAAAAAGCCCGGGAAATATTTTGGTTCAAGAGTGAAAATTGGAAAACTAGACTTTGTCAGATTTATTCACAAAAATACAAATCAAACAATCACATTGCAAAAGGCACATGACTGTTGTCATAACGATCAACTTCCACCTTACTCAAACGTTACCGAATCATTTATTTGCCGTAAGAACTCTTTTTCCCAGTTATCCAACAGGTGGACGTAATTGTAGAAAAAAGGATCGTTGGAGCACTTACTAAAAAAAATTTGTAGATACTCAACTACATTGATGCTATATATCGGATCGTTGACATCCAGGGGATCTAAACTCTCCTCTACAATGCTTTCCTCTTCTTCGCTACTTATATAATCTGAATCACCAGAACTTGACCCGTCTGGTGGGTCCACAGAATCATCGTCTCTTGACGTTGAAGCCTGACCGAACGAACGTCGCCATACGTGTCTACTTTCCACAGTTTGATTGTCGGTTGCTGCACGAGACACGAGCCATTTGCAAGTCTCCAATAAAGCCCTTATAATATCCAACAGAATAGGATGTTCTGTAGTATTTATGGGCATCGAAGTGGAGCAGCTTGGTTGGTTGACATCCTCTTTAACGTAACTAACTTTTATATCTAGAATGCGCCTATCTTGTTGAGTTATCGCAAGCTCAACCACACGACATAATGCTACAGTGCTAGAAAATATAAGATTATTTAAAGGTTTAGCCTTTGTGGGTAATACTTACTGTAAATGTAAGAAATATTTTTTATCCAAAGAATACTTAGTTGAAGATAATTTCCCAAGAATAAATGCCAAGGCACTTTGTCCTCTCGGTCCGGGTATTAACGTTAGAAAATGAACTGTCGCATCAAAATGGCAAAAGAAGAGATAGGAAAATATTCCTAATAATGGTGCCTTCACTGGTGCGCTACCCGCCCGTTGTACTGCACTCAATAGACCTCTTAAGACAAAAGAAAAGTGTTGGTCCAGCTGACATCCTAATGTGTGCATTGCCGTTATGAAGAAACGACCAACCTCCTCGCACATATATTCACTTTTTGTAGGGTCCAGCAAGCATTTAAGAATGTTTAATACACACTCGCTTCCAGTGCGGCCGTCGTTATCCTGGAATGTCAGAACTCGAGATGTTGCCTTGCATAGGTAACTACGAAGACATTCTGAGCTCAGCTGAAATGAAAGAACAAAAAATTTTGGTACACATTGCTAGTTTTCTTTTGCTAAAAGACAAGCATAATTTTTTCTTTGCATCATCTTTAAAAAAACTATATTTAGTATACAAAGGCAGTAAAATCAATTTTTCTCCTTGTTCGTTTTATGTTAAGGTAAGCTGGTTCAAAATTGTTTATGTTTTAAGGTTAAAATGTCAAAAGTTGGCACACAAAGTGTCATTGTATTACTGATCCAGCGAACAATGAAGTGTCCAATCCGAAAATATCGCTTAGATTATACAGGCTGATTCAAATTCGAGGACCACCATGGGAATCTCGGAAACTGTAAGAGATAAGTAGGTAGTTTAAATTGAGCAAAGTTGCGTATTTTGATGCTTAACAAACTGCCATTTTGAAACTGAAAAAATTCCGACTACTTTCTGAGATATCCTGAAAGAAACAAAATTTTACAAAATCGTTTTTATTTGTTATTCAACGCCATTTTGTAGAGGGAAAAAAGTCCTTTATTGCACTTGGTGAGTGCTGACAGAAGTGACACACAAGTTTAGACTACTTCTTTCTCTCTCACACTCCTTGGCAATTTTATCTAAATCGTCCACGCCATTCCATACACTGCACATGCGAAAGAAACGTCCTTGATGGCTCGAAGGACCATGTCCAATGTCGGGGCAGAAGACTTTGGACATGAGGGGAATGCCCCCTCATCTCGAACATCAAACACAGTCCTACATTACGAGGAAGAAAAAAAAATTCTGCTCCAGACGAATTTCATCGGTAAACCCACGCAAAGTTATAAGGAAGTGGATAGAGCAGGGAAGGGGAAATAAATTTAAAAGAGGGCCACATAAAATAATTACAGCATTTAAGCGGGCCAAAGAGGATAAGGAACAAAAAATCAGCTTGACAAAAATTATTATTTGGATGCCCTGAGTCGAATGAAATTTTAACTGTTTAATTATAACATCGAAATTTGGCTCCAAATTAGTGGGAGAAGTTCGCAAAACGCTCTCTAGATATTCCTCAGTCATCCTGTCATTTGTTTTTACGAATATAAATGACTGGTACTAACCGCGAGCCGGATCAAACCATGGGCCGGACTTCGCTATTTCCCCATTTTGTGTTTTTTTTTATTTATTTATTTAACGAAAATACCATTTTTACAAAGAAATACAAAACATAATATCTATAGCAAAAGGTAACAAGACGAAGTGTGACTATAAATTTAGTCCAATCAATCACTTACAGCACAGATTAAATACAACAGATAGCTCACCTCAATGCATTTTATTTGTTAACAAAATTAAGGATAAAATATCCTTAATTTAAATACCTTGGGTATCCTTAAACGCGCCCTCTATTTGCAAAATAAAATAACGCCACTCTAATTCAGTTCAACTAATTTACAAAGTTTGTTTATTCGACTATAGATGACACACAGTAGGGTTACAAACCCGCAAGGAATTTTTATTTACTCGCTTCTGCGGTATATAAATATACGATATATAATGCTGGCGGGTTTGTTTTCATACACGACATCAAAATCTAGTTTGCGATTAAACTTGAACTTGAATTCCCATTCTAAATTATGTTTTTTTCGTTTGTGTTTTATATTTATTTTTTTTGCAAAGTACGAACTAACTACTTAATTAGTAAAAAAGGAAACAAATGCTATTGCAAAATTAGCCAGATTTTGTACTTAATCTGGCATGAATAACTATGCAATACGGAGGCAGGTGTTTGAGTAAACACGCGCGTAATGCTTTCTTTTGTAACACGAAACTGCTCCATGCACAGATTACATTACATTGATGACGATTACATTACAATGTAATCTGAGTTCAAGGGAACATTTTGTCCTAGCCCCAGCTAGAAAACTATTGTTACCGTCTGTCCGGTGTTCTGTTTGTCCATCATACTATGACTCGGCCCCTACATTGTTCTCTAGTACAGGGCGGCATGTCTTTACCCGTGGCAATGTATTTTATTTTTATGACCGGGCACCTATAATGAAAAATTTTTTGTCCATCACTCTTATAGTCAGGGAAACATTTCGGCTGCCATATTTTGGATTTAAAGGTTTAAATGTCAAAATGGAGTCTGGCAACAGGGCGCATCGTTTGTAGCACAAAACGCTGTTACATATGCTTTTTTCAGAAATGTCTCCCTGACTCTATTAGGTATATCTATATTATACATATAAAACTAGACATTTTCATACAAACACAGGAATTTTCATAATTATTATTAGTCCAGGCTATAAATAGCTCTAAAATAATTTATTTTCAAAAAAAATTAGTTACCGGGCGAAACGGGGTTTTTCAGGCAGGTGAAATGATTAGAAATTGTGAAAAAATAATTAAAACAGCTGTATTTTTCCGCGGGTGAAATCCCTGGGGTTGAAAGTGGTGTTTTGCAAATTGTGGAAAAACTATTAATTCTAGACGAAAATGTTGAATGTAAAAGTTATAGAGATTAAAATGAGCAACTTTTGCATCTGCACTATTTTCACATATAGGTACCTCAAATTTTCCTAGAAAAACCGTTTTTTTCGTTTTTTATTCTTATTTCTTATTTGGAGGAAACATAGCTTTTTTTATGATAAAAAAGGAGATAATTTTTGGGCCCATAAAGTTGAACCGTTTCCGAGATCTCACGATTTCTGAAAAAAACACCTCTTTTTCGAAGGAATGAAAAATCTATTGGTCATGCTCATGAGTGATAAAGGTGTATTGATATTGATAAAAGAGCAGCCGAAGTAGGTGAAGAATTGATACCACCGAAGTTCAAAAAACTATATGAGCATCAGTACGATGGGTTTAAGAAGTGGTGCCGCATAAAAATGTAGAACAACCTACTGAAAATGTCTTTCATCCAACTTTGTCCAACAATTCCAACAAATTGCAAAATACCAGTTTCCACCCCTTTCAACCTCCGCGATTTCACCCGCGGAAAAATTCAGCGTAGTCGATAGTAAAAGATTTTGTACTGTGGTGTTGTAGAAAGTAGTGTAGTAGACTAAATGAACGCTCGCCTTCTGCCGATGTGACGTAATTTTGCATACGGGCTCCAGGACCCGGTTTGCCCCCCTTGTCGGCGGTCCTGCTCTAGTATAGCTGTGTTTAATAGAAATAAGATGGGTTTTGAAGTGAAGTGAAGTGAAGCTACTTATATCAAGAAAACGAAATTTGTCAAGAGCACCCACTCCATTTTTAGCGCATTTTTGCAAAAATTTTTTTTGTAAAAAGTAGCTTTTAATCTCACTTTGGCTGGCTGGCTGGCTGGTCGGCTGGCTGGCTGGCTGGCAGTAAATGCGCGCCCGTAGAAAAACGCTTGTAAAAAGACAAGGAGTGTACATGTAACTATCGGGGCCGTGTAATTAAGAACGTTAGGGATGGGGCTACAAGATTTGGAGTCGACGACATCTGGACGCCATCCCCGAGCGTATTATACTAACCTGGAGATTTTTCAGTTTTTATCTATCTTCTTCTACAGTTTTTCTCCGATTGTTTTCAAATTGGTGTCGTCGGGAAGATCTTGTCAACGCACACAACTCCTGCATGGCGGAATTTTGTTTTTTTTCCTAGGGGCGAAATAAACCACCTTTTGCGCGGCGCGCTTCGAGGGGTAGTCGACTTTGGGTGCCCAAAAGTTTCTTACAGCGCGAATCGCGGTCTCTCTTTCTCGTGTCACTAATAGAAGGTCGAGCTATGTGAAGTACCCAAAACTTGAATACGATTTTATGCCGGGATTTTAGCGAAATCTACCAAAATGTGAATTACGAATGAACGGGACGTCGGAACTGTGTATCGACAAAGGGAATGTGGTAACCCCCGACGAGATCTTACTGATGGTGGAGTCGAAACTTCAAATCCGAATTGTTGCGGGTGATCAGAAGTGGGTGTCGACAAAGGGAATATGGTAACCCCCAAAGGATTTTACTGATGGTGGAGTCAAAACTTCAAACGCGAATTGCGAGTGCACGGTAAGTGAGAAAATGGTACCGACAAAGTGAACGTGGTAGCTTTCGGCAAGATCTTATTGATGGTGGAGTCAATATTGGCTAATAAAACACTGATCTGCCACACAAAAATGCGCTGAAGTCCCTTCGATCTCACACGAGGACTTTGATCATTTTTTAGATACTTATACCAAAATTAAAAATGTTTGTAATTTGTAATTATGGTCGAATTAAATTTTTAACAACAAGAAGTAGGTTAGTAGGTAGGTCCCTACATATTCGGAAATACCACAGTTCATCCACAGATACGATTTTTATCGTGGAAATCAAGGTATAATAGTCAATAGATAGAAAATAAATATAGAATGTAAAATCTGTGAAGGAATTAAAAGTTACGATTACAAAGATGCAGTTCGGAGACAGTGCAAATAAATTCTTCATTGAAACTATTTGCATTTTCATTGCAATAATCGAAAAACTAGACAATGTAGTGACAGTGAAATAGGGAGCAGAGCAACGAAAATTAATTTGTTATGGTTCAAAATTGGAAATACTTGGTCTTGTGCTTTTGTACAAACTACTTTTTTTATGGAAATATTTAGGCATAAATGCCCGAATTGTACGAAAATCGACTGACAATATATTTCAGTGCCATACTACTTATATATTTTATTTTTTTCAAGTAACCTACGGCCTCGCCTAAGGCAATTGTGAATTGCTGATTACTATTTTTTTTTAATGGATGAATATAAAAAGGAACTCCTCAGCCTCCAAAGGCGTTACGATGAAGTCCCTAAGGACTCAAGAGTACGACGACGAAGTGGCCAAGGACAAAGTCGATGTACTTGAAACCAGAGTGATGATTCAGAAGTCAGGACAAGAACTTAATGTCGATGACTGCCCCCTCGTTAGACAACCATAAGTAGTAGATACTTCTTGATTTATTTTGTGTTTATTTGACAACGTTACCTTTACTGCACTACTACTATTAAGGTTTTTAAATTAATATGTTCATTTGTTTTTATTTTATCACTTTCAATGTTTTGTCCTAATGAATTGCCCTATAAATATAAAACAAGTTGTAAATCAGCATATGCATGATTAAAGCGCATTTTTGGTAATGCAGGTCAGTATTTTAGTAGCGAAGTTTAAAATTATCGATCTCACGAGTAATTTTGGCTGCGTTAAATAATTAATTTGATTTAATTTCAATTGAGGGTACGTCTTTATTTTGTAAAACAAATCACAAAGTAAATAAGTTTTTATACTGGTAGCGCTATCTAACGGTAAAATTATAGCACCCCCGAAACCCATACCGAAATTATTTTCTTCAATTATCGATCTCACAAGTAATCTAACTCAAAATAGACTAGTGCCTGCACATCTACACTATAGCAGAAAGCTTTTAGTGAAAATTTGAATTCTCTAGCTATTGTAGTTGTTGAGATCTCACGCGGACAGCCGGCCTGCCAGCCATAACGAATATAATATAAAAAACTATGACATCTTGTATTGCCAAAGGTTCAATTTTTAGATTTTGTTAATAATTAATATTATAAGAAATGTTAAAATATTTTTTGTCTTTGTTATATATGATGTTAATTTTATTGTTATTCTACTCATATATTTAAATTTTTCTTTTTATTACTGTACTTGCTTGCGTATTTGTTACATGGATTTTGTCCGTTAATTGGATACTCATCTGTTGGGCAAAATATACATTATTATTATTATTATAATAAAATATTCAAATTAAAGTCAGTTTCAGATTTTTTGGCGTTGTAATATTTGAGTAGCACTCAATTATGTCATTTAATGCTTTTCTAAACAGTTTTGGTAATAAAGTCGTATACGTCATTTTCCTTAATCTATTGGTCTCTCAGACCGGTGCGTGCGCTCGAGTTACAAAATATGGTGCGTGTTGTGAAAGGTTAACAATAAGAATAAAATTTAAGATTTTGATTTACATGCCCATATCAATGCGAAACAAATTATGCTTGTCACATGTAATTATTATAATTGTATTTACCTGTATAACCGATGTATCATCAACCCTCGAGATGATCGTTGATACCGGAATAAATCCGTAGACAACCAGCTCATTGCTGATTGGCTCTTCTGAATACTTGACTAAAATCGTTAAAATGCTAATCGCGTTACATTGCACATTGTAAGACGTAATCGGGCGACTGTGCGGAGAGATAATTTCATTTGTCAAATCCACAAAGACGGGTAAAAACTTCTCCTGGAATGTCTTTGCGCACGAACTATTCGAGCATATTTCCTTAATGATAACTTGCAAATGATCGACAATTTTATAATTGAGCAAACTCTTATCAAACATGTTGATTATAAACAATATTAATTTCTCCGCAATGCAATCGGCAAATGGACCCAACTGCGAAATAATACTGATATCAAATGAGAGCATCAGTACACGATCTTACCTTTAACAGTTGAACTAACGCAGACAGGCCCATCGGTAGAATAGCGCCACCTAGACCATCTAATGTATCCATTAAAGCATATGCTAACGTTTGACGAAGTTCTATATATACAGACTTGTATTCTGATTGGTTAGCTGTACGCATATGTAAATAAAGTGATCTGAAATTTCAATGGGTATCAACCGAAAATAAACTTTAAAAATAATTACCTTATGGCTGAAAATGTCAATATAAAAGACGAGGCATTCAAATTGTCAGCAATAGTTCTTATGTAAGCAGGCGCATTGTTGCCCAATATTGAAGAGTATTGTCCTCCTAACCACATAATGCGCGCTAGCATTAGCCATGACGGACAAGGTCCCACTTCGGCTGCCCATCGATTTAAATAATTCATAATATCAAAGTTTTGCAGTACCTTATGGCTATGCGCGTTAAGAACGAAATCCCTTAAACAGCCAACTGCGTACATTGTGGCCTCCTGAATACGCCAAAAATATGATTCAGTTTTCGCCGTGCTACAGACGATGTGCCTATCCACCGCATCAGTGATGGCATTTATCATTGTGGGCGCATATACTCGACGCGACAGGAACTGAAATACATAAAAATGACTTGACAAAATAATTCTAACAATATTAAAAACATTTTTCAAAATTTACATATATTTCGGGCGCTTCTGACACAAAGACCAATGCTTGGTATTGTATCAAAAATTGGGGGCTACCTACGCATTTTTGTTTGGGCTCCTATTCTTTACTAGACATGAAGGTTTATTGAGATTGAGATTAGGAGTTCCAGAAGAAGGTGCTTTCTGAAACTATCGAAGGTTTAGCAGCTGTGGAGTTTCGAGACAGTCTGTCGTCTTATTCCGTATATCATTTTCTGAACTGATGAAGGGATTTGGGTATAAAAATGCTACAAAGGACCTAGGGAGCAAAAATGTGATGATACTAGAAATCTTTGGTATATGCACGAAATGCGGTTTCAAAGATGTGTAATAAAACCCAAAGATTCTGAGAAAGTGATGCAAATCTTGACGAAACAATATAAAGCTCTAGAAAGCGTGTAATTATACTAAAATGCACTTTAGTTTCACAACCTTTGAAGGGGAACCAGAAATCTTTCACTGTGATTTTCGATTTCGAACGGTCTGTAATGGGTCTGGGAGGCAATATAAGTTTTAGTAATGTGGAATATACTGTATTGCTTTTAATATAGAAAGAAATGCATAATTAAATGCTTCTACTTGTTGACCCTGATGTTACTCATTATATACAAATCAAAAGTAGTATCACTTATTTGAGAGCATCACATTGTATACTATAAATAATAAACCACTTACCACTAGGAAGTTTTTAGCTGCAAGTCTTAAAGAATTTTCAGAGAGTTCTTCATCTATATCCTCGTTGATGTAAACCTCCGGGTCACTTTTCCACCGTACCTCCATATCTTTGGGAATTGCCAGAAACAAAATAGTGTGATGCACCAAATCGGGCATGACATTTAAAATGTTAGGCAAGTGACAGTCAAGTTTTAAAATTGACTTGATTACATCAAATACATTTTCGACCAATATGTAAAATAATGGTGTATTTTGTTCGTTTTCTTCAGGATCCCGATATGGGAGCGTTTCATTAACGAGCATTTCATCAAATATCATTCCGCATCGATACAACATTTCCCAAATGGTCGGCAATATGTCGATAATTGTTTTTGATACGATCGCTGGTATTTTGTGTAATAACGTGGTGAACACATTTAAAATGTTGTGCTTCAGCACGTAGTCGCTTTGAGTGGGATGTGGTAAAGTTAACTGTCTTTGGCACACCATACAAAAATTTGTAATAAGTGCAGTGATTTCAGTGTGTTGAAGTATGCACTTCTTGAAAGGAAAACTGGTAAAGATCATCATGGTCTTTGCGCGAGTCTCTGTACTATATTCCTAAAAAAAATATACTAATAGAATAAATAGAACCAGAACAAATTTTCTATGGAGTTACAGCAAAACATTTTCAGTGTCCGTTAGTGCAGCATTAGGTATATAATTAAAAGACAATGTTGACGAAATGCTGCAACAAGTCAGTTTAGTTTGCAGCAAAATCGAGCTCATTTGAAGTTGATGGTTTGGTCATGAAAAATGTGACCATAATTTTAACAAATCATCATCATAATTATCAATTAACGATTAATTGATAAATATCAGACCAGACAGACTTTGAGTTATCATAATACCTGTACCCCAGAGGCAAATTATATTGTCATTTTTTGTTAAAAAAATAAGTTCTTTGGACACTTTCTTATGGAACCAGCCTTTATTTTAAGAGAAAAAATAGAACTAAAAAAATACACTGCCTAGGCCCCTAGGGCGAGACTCAGGAGTAGAAAGTCTACCCCTGCTCTTCCATCTAACCCATAATGATTCCACTTAAGGCTCCTCTGTAGTCAATTTATATTTCAGTGTTATTGCAATTGGTTAGACCACCAACAATACACACTGCTACATGATCTCCTTGAGTGAAACCAACGATGTATCTATCCTCAGTTTTGCATATATTCTCTTCATTTATTGTTAAACACAATAGACCATGAATAATGATCAAGGACTAATTATGTAAACAAGTTTATCGAAAAGCTGTACAATATTTGACTGGAGATGCACAAATCCCTATTTCTGTTACCGTTGAATAAATTACCTATTCAATGCATTTACTGCATTTTTCTATAATAACACCTGCTGTAAATTACGTGGTTTTCATGTACTTAGTGCCTAGTGGACTAGATTAGCATTGTTTGTTATAACATTTTTTAATTACCCCTTTATTTCTTGTGATTTATTCTAATCATTTTTACTGATTTATAGATTTTTATATGTAGTTATTAGGTACATGTGCATGAATGAATTCACTTAGGTATGGTAGATCCTAACAAAACCGGCACTTCGAACACCTAAATTAAATCTTTCTTTACTTATATACAAGGGTGAACAACAAAAAAAATTGTATGTTTTTCATAAAAATGGTAGCTAACATTTAAAATTCTGTTACAATGATTAAAAGTATAACATTTATACTGATTCTAAATAAATCCTTATCTTTTTAAAAATTAATAACCATTGTACATTTCGCGTATTACTTATTTATATCTATGCACGACCCATGGAGAATTTTTCCGAACATCTTTTGTGCGGTAAGATGACTTCACTTTTTTGCCCTGAATTCAATGGTAAAAATAAAATTTACTTGATCCTCCTATTTTTTGAGGGACAAATATTCCTGTTGATAAAGTTGATATCAGTCCATATTGAAAAAAGAAGTAGGTAGTAGTAAAAATTTACCGGTTTCTGTCGCTACATAGTATTGGAAATTTGAAAAAAATTCGTCAAGTTGATGTGAAGTTTGTGGGACTCCATCAAAAGGTATTCTCAAACGGAAAGATAAATAGTCGAATTTTTTTAAAAGTGCAAGAATTTTTTTATATCCACCACTTTCACTAACTTGACTTTACATGAGCAAAACAGTGACACTTTGTTTTAAATAAAATTGTCAGTGTCGGCCATTAGTTATCGTATCCCGCTTAGGAATTTAACTAAAAAGGGGAATTGTATTTATATCGGTAGCGTTTCTTTTATATAACATACCACGACGTTTCCTATGTTTATGTTCCGCTAATAAGTGAAAAAATGCCTATGTGTCATTTGTTATCTATTGGGCGCAACTTTATGCACAACAAAGGGCATGTGCATCTTTTGCTTTTGGTCGCATTTCTCGAAATAGATAATTTTCACGAAAACTTACTCTTAGTCCAGTATGCAGATAATTTTGACCTGCAAAAGGTGGTGTAAAAGATTTTATTGTTTTAAATGGTCCATTTGGGTCCAAACAACATGTATTTGAAGAGAACGCACAGATTTTTTCTCGCCACAACTTTTGGCAGCCAAAAAACCTCAAAATTTTTGGTATTTATTTAGTTTTTCGCTTAAAACTCGAAAACAGTCCATATTTTATGAATAACACATCTTTAGTAAAGAAAACAAAATTATGCGTCGATAAAAAAAAACAAACAAAATCCGTCCAATAGAAAAATTTTTACAAGCGATCAAAAAACGCCCATTTTTTCCAACCAATTTCAAAAATTGGCCCAATTTTAACTTGGTGGTACTTTTTGATCTCTCTGATTGATGTTCTACAATCTTTAGGGAGGGGGAGTAGTGGAGTTTATCGTTCCTTTAGGAGCCACAACGCATTAAAAAAAGGTTAAACAAAGGTAAAATTTTTCTATTGGACCGATTTTGTTTGTTTTTTTTTGATCGCCGCAGAATTTTGTTTTCTTTAATTTACTAAAGAAGTCCTAACGTTTTGAGGTTTTTTGGCTGCCAAAAGTTGTGCCAGGAAAAAATTGGTGTGCACTCTTCAAATACATGATATTTGGACCCAAATGGGCCATCGTTTACACCACATTTTGCAGGAATCAGTCCTTCTGACTGCTCCGCATACTGGACTATCTGAGGAAACTGATAATGTTAGATGGGAAATATACACAAACGTGTAATTTAGTCATATTTGATTTGATCTAACTAAACAAAGTGCTACGCTTCTGGTAGTTTAAAAGCATTGTTATAAAACAGGGTTGATATTCAGCACTACTTATGATATAATATGTGAAGTACCTAGTATTGTACGTACCCCCCGCCCCGTCAAAGGGAGATACATACATACAGCCTCATTATAGGCTTTCTTGAAGCATCCTGATGGGATGCAAAAGGTTTTAGAAATAAAAAATTATTTCCAATGTACCTATAATAGGAAATCCATTTTTCGTCTTGGGAATATGTGACATTATGATTTACAAATCAACAGCATTCAAATAAATAAATAATAAATAGTAATTTATCTAATCCATATCATTAGGAAGGGCGTAACAATGCGTAGGGTAATGCCAGGTAGTTTCTTTTGTTTTCCCTTTCAAGTAATGAGTTGTCGCCTCAGGCGTTATAAGTGCAATTTGAGTTGCCTATCCTTACGTTAGCATTTTGATTTTTTCTGGAGATCACGAAACATATTTTTTTAAATATATGCCCTTATCACAATAGACGGAAATAATATCTTTAAGTACCGCCGTAAGAAATACTGTCGGATTTCAAAATTGGTGCTATAGGTTTTTCTACTCCCATTACAAAGACTGTTATTTACGAAAAACGATTTTTCTATTCATCGATCTTTTTAAAAAACTAAGACCGCTATTTCAACTTTTTTTAAGTACCGCCATTGAATTTATAAATTCAATGAATTTATAAATTCAATGGAACCGCCGTTCATTTCATCATTGCAAAGAATATCCACTATCGAGAATTTGTTAGACTTCAACTATAAAAGCAGCATTTCATAAGAAAGATTAGCTATTTTTCCCATATGGTGGATTGACTACAGAGGAGCCTTAATTGACATTGTTCTGGTCATTAGTAGGTAGAGATATAACACAGATTTTACATTGAATTACAGAAAAGGAATAAAAATATTAACAATAAGATAAAATAAGAAACAAAATTGAAAAGTGCTCTAATTATTATTGCCGTAGCAACTTAATAAATCCGCAAACACAATATACTTAGCAACAGTTGGTGATTTAGGGCATTAGTGCCAACTAGATATTAGTTAGTAAAACTATTTATTTATGTAAAGTGCTGGTACATATGTAAGTTTTCATTTTCACTTTCATTAAAATGGTGATATTCTTGATTACCAGAGATAGATAAGGAGATGACGTAGATGTGTCAAATAATTTTTTAACGGTTTCTATATTTTTTATTCTATAAATATTATGAAAAAATATTGTTTTGACTGTTTTATGGAAATATATTATTTGTAAAACAATAAATTAATTTTTTTACAGCAAATTACCTATAGGTACAGAGTTTTAAGTAATGGCATGCAGGCTCTCAGGGGGTCATGATATTCGTAAAAAAACACTATATGCATGCTCTAAAGCGCGTCGTTTTCGTTATACGGGGTGGTAAAGGTTCAATCTTTTTTCTCGTATTTTGCATCTATTATGTCTTAGAATCTCTACAATCAAGTATCAAAATAGTTGGTCGCAGTGTACAGGGTGTTACATTTCTGTCCATAGACATGTAAAATCACAAATACAACTTTACCAAAGAAAATAATAATAATAATATTTATTGATTATTAAGTAATCAAAAGGACAAGATTCGGCAAAGCCGGTTTTCAATCCTGCCTAAAAACATGCCATATTTCCTGGACATACTTCCTAACTATAACATGATCTTATAAACATTTATAAACATGCAAAAAAAAAATGACTTTTAACGATCCCGTCCACATTTTTCACAAAGTCGTGTAAAAGCACCTGTGCAGTAAAACAAACCTTAGGTGCATTAACGAGCACCCATCAAAGTTCGCATTTCAACTTTCGTCTATGAAACACCTATGCCAACGGAAAACTGCACTAACGAACCAATAATTTGACTTAATAATTGGGTAATCATCTACCAATAAGTGTCTGTAATTTCTTTAAGATTAAAATATGGTGCAAAATGAATAATGGATAATACTGAACCCTCTTGTGATTCACACTTACCAGTTCTTGAGCAACTGTGGTCAAAAACTTATAAATCAGTATCCAGTCATCACATGTTGGCGGGTTCGCGAGCGCGGTCACTCTACAATAATCATTTAGGAAATACAAAATACCCGAACATGTATTTTCGTCGACGGTCGTCAATTTCGAGAGAATATCTTTAATCATGTCCGGCCAAGTTGCAGAGTAGTCAAATTTGGCAATACACACAAGGCACGCGGCGCACGAGTTTCTAACTAACGAATACGGACTCTGTAGACCGTTCGGAAGCATATATCTCAGCTTTTCTTTGACCGGTTCATTTAAAATCGGCGGCATATCGTTTGCAGTCTTCCACCAGAAACTATAAATACACTGCTTTAGCAGAATACCAGCCATTTGCCTTTCTTCCGCCGCTTCGTCGTGTGCTAGCAAAATTTCTATAAGAAGGATGGAGTATTCTGAAAGAGAAATAGAATGATTTAATACGCTTTGAAATAGGTAAAAGAAGATCTGCATTAGCATCCAAAATTATTTTTTTTTACTCGCAAAAGACACAGAGCACACAGCCCACAGCGTGTACCATATTCGTTATTAGCCAGTTAAGTGGCTGTCACCTTGTGTGTACAAGATTTAAGTTCCGAATCGCAATGGGGAGCAGAATTTGAAAATTTGAGTTTTGCTGTACAATTTGGTAAAACAAAAAAAAAATCATTTTCAAGAGAAAAGTACATGCAAAAGAGCCAGTTTTATGTGTCATCTGAATTTTCCGAATGTTTACTGCACGCACACGAAAGTGTGTCTCCAACACTGCACGATGAACAGCTTGCCTGGCACATTTGTGTGCTGTCCTGCAGTGTCTCATTAGGCAGCCATGTATCTAAAACTACAGAATACAAGCCTTGGCTTGCGTGGGCTCTGTCCCGTGTGTCTCAAAGTGTGCCTCGCTTTAATATCTTCAAAACTGTACTAGATCGACTTTACACCTTTCCCCACTGCCTGACAAGTTGCAGTATGGGGTCCGGGAAACTTTCTAACATCAACAAATAACAACACCCACAAGAAGCCAAGAGTGATTACATAATGAAAACTAAGTTTGTATAATAAATAAATTAGTTTCATTTGTCCCAAACAGCGAGCCTAATACACTGTGCTTATTCCCGTCAGATCATACGCTCTCGTAATACAGAGCAGGTACACCTGCCCATCTAAATCATCAGGCAGCAATGCTAACATACATTTTCACGTTATACATTCATAAAGCAAGAAATAATGAAATTACAACATACCCTCCATCATTTCCATGGCTTTCTTACGCTCCTCTGCAACGTTTAGCAGTTCGCTCGATGAACTAAGAAGTCCGCTTATTATCTCCAACATCGTCTCTCTTAAAGCCATATTTCTTCACTAAAACAATAAAAGTATTAAATTTTAGGCCATTCGGGAGCCGTTGTTAATTATTTGATGGAAAATTTCCGAAATGTAATGGTTTGAAATTCTAACCTCGATTTGTGCAAGTATTGTTATGACAACAAATTATCAAAAGTACGACATTAAAAACACTTACGGATACATAAAGAACTTAAATTGTTGACAAGACTGTGTACAATTCAACAATTATTATTAATAAACACGGTACTTCGCTAATTTGCACAATATCTGACGGAAGAAGCGGGAAGAATAAATTCTGGAATGTCGTTCATTAAACACTGTTGCCACGGCCGTCTTAGATTCCTACACCTTGGGGTTGTTTATAACAATGCTACGATTGAAAAATTAACACTGGATAAAAATTTAAATATCGTCGTTTTGTACACTCACCGGTAATTTTTCAATGGTACCGAATTTACGTCAACTTTTCATTATACACACACAGGGTGTTCTACTTAAACTTGGATTTTTGATATCACCTAAACCCAAAGAACTGCTTTGCGCGCCCTCAATCGCGCGGGAAAAGCGGTTAGCACTCACGTGACTATATCCGTCCTTATTTTTCTCTTTTGAACCAATGATTTGATAAAGGAAAATAATACATCCGTTTTGAAACGTGATGTACGCCAAATTGCACTTGCATTTTGTCACGTAGGCGCATTTTTTCATGATTACTCATCACAATAACACGCGTAAATTACATTCTAGCTTATTGGTCCATTTCAAAATTCCTTTCGCTATTGATAACTTTCAGATTAGATTGTCTTATTATAGTCTTGAAATCACTGGAATCTTCGATCGGGTTCACTGAGGTCACCCAGTGTCTTGGGAGTGGGGGGTTGGAAACCATAAAACTGCCAAAATCGAAAATAGGTACCTAGACTATTTCTAAAAATAACTACCCTCCCAGACAGCGCACCGCTATCGAGGAATAGGAACATTTTTTATCTCACCGATGACCGAAGTTTCATATCTAGGACTGTTTAATGGGTCTTGGTTTGGACCCTCAGAACCTTGTTTGGGTGGGTTTCAATTCAAGGGCTCCGTAGGAATTTTGAAAAAATTGTACAAAAGAAAAAAATTAAAAAAGATACCGACGAAGAAACGCAAATTTTGGAACTTTAGGAACGTAGCTGCTAAACGAAGGCTTGGTTATTTGGAAAAAATGCCTGTTTTGATCTTTTCTACTATTCAATTACAGTTCGTACAGGGTGTTCGTTTTTCGCGCTTCTCAATGGCTACCTTAAAATTAATTTAATTAAGAGTAATTAGATTAGAGCCAAATGATGATGATACATTTTCTTATGGCCAATTCTATTCATGTGTCACAAAGGGAAAAAATTATTGATTGTGATTTTGAAACCAATATTGGAGCACGCGGAAAGCTCATGGAGGAAAATTTCAAACAGTTTGAAGATTGGGCTACTAGATCAAAAGTTACAGCCCTTTGAATTTTTTTTCGAAATTTGTTTTTTGTCCATAACTTTTGATTGAGAAGTCTGATCGAAAAAGTACGAATTGTTTTGGATTCTACGCACCAAAATTAATAAGAAAAGGTGTTTTCCCGAGAAATTTTGGTGTAGTCTATTTTTGGTAAAAACGGAAGGTTATAACCTGCCTTTTTTTGGGGCTCGAAGAAAAAATTGTCTCAGAACGACCCGGAAAAAAATTTTCTTATAGAATGTGGCCTGTAGAATCCATAATTGCAAACAGTTCCAAGATTGGGCTACTAGTTCAAAAGTTACAGCCCTTTGAATTTTCTTTCGAAATTGGCTTCTAGTCTATAACTTTTGATTGAAAAGTCTGATGGAAAAAGTACGAATTGTTTTGGATTCTACGCACCAAAATTAATAAGAAAAAGTGTTTTTGCGAGAAATTTTGGTGTAGTCGATTTTTGGTAAAAAAAGGAATGTTATACACTGCCTTTTTTTGAGGCCCGAAAGAAAATTGTCTCAGATCGACCCGGAAAACAAATTTTCTGATAGAATGTGGCCTGTAGAATCCATAATTTCAAACCGTTCCAAGATTGAGCTACTATTTCAAAAGTTACAGCCCTTTGACTTTTCTTTCGAAATTGGTTTCTGTCTATAACTTTTGATTGAGAAGTCTGATCGAAAAAGTACGAATTGTTTTGTATTCTACGCCCCAAAATTAATAAGAAAAAGTGTTTTCCCGAGCAATTTTGGTGTAGTCGATTTTTGGTAAAAAAGGAAGGTATGCCTTTTTTTTGGCTCGGAAAAAAAATTGTCTCAGAACGACCCGGAAAAAAAATTTTCTTATAGAATGAGGCCTGTAGATTCCATAATTTCAAACAGTTCCAAGATTGGGCTACTAGTTCAAAAGTTACAGCTTTTTGAATCTTCTTTCGAAATTGGTTTCTAGTCTATAACTTTTGATTGAGAAGTCTGATCGAGAAAGTACGAATTGTTTTGGATTCTACGCACCAAAATTAATAAGAACAAATGTTTTCTCGAGAAATTTTGGTGTAGTCGATTTTTGGTAAAAAAGGAAGGTTGTACACTGCCTTTTTTTGAGGCCCGCAAAACTTTTGACATATGAATATAATCTGCACTATTGCCGATTGTATTTAATTCCTGCAATGGTAACTTCAAAGTTCAAGGCGATAAATCCAAAAATTATATTTTCATTTAAAAATGGCGATTGTGTCAAAATAAAACCACGACTCTACATATTATGGGAATGTCTTTCAATTAGTCAACTGACTCAAGCTATAAGTCTTGTAAGCTTCTTGTGGCTCTTCTCTTCTCTTCCCCTCGAAATTGGTAATACATAATTAAACATTTTGCCAAAAGTGATTATTAAAATAAAATTGTTGCTGTACTCATGAGGGACCAATTTCTATTAAACTTAACATTAACGAGCTTTCTAGGACTCCCCAGTGCCGTGATCTTGTCCCTATCACCACAGTTTATCTGTGCTATCACGGACGGACGCACGAACGGATAAGCGCATTTTATTCTTTGAAAAATGCGCTAAAACATACAAATTGAGTGAGAATGTACAAGCCTTCAAAATTATGTTTTTAATTTCAACAACCCGTCTCAAAACAGAATATTCGCGATCTGAGTATAATCTTTGGGATCGCCTTCCATTCGCAGCTACTTATAACCGTAGTGCCAAGAATACAATCTTTACAAAATGTTCATAGTTCCCAGTCCTAATTCCGTGACATTACCTAGCCAAATATTACAATTAGATAACGTACTTTCCAGGTTTTTCTCAAAAAAAATCAAAGAATACTTTGAAAAAAACCCTAATTGGCATTTTGTAATTTTCTGTAAAACGTTGGCCTGTCAGTAATTATCATTGAGATTATTACTATCAATCGACATTTCTGCAAATCTTCAACCATTATTTCAAAGTATCGCAACTCCTTTTTAGTTAGCAATTCGCAAATATTGCAGTTGGTCAGCCCAGTTTTACCAAATTATGCATTTATCAAAAAAAAATTCTGTGGCTAACACAGATACCACCCGCACAGCTTCGTATGCACGATTCTACTCTTTTATGTCTAAGAATATGTGTACCAAATTTGGTTTAAATCGGTTCAGCCGTCTATCCGGAAAATGAAGGCACAGACAGACAGACAGACCGATTGCCATAATCGAGATTTTGTTTAATTCGGATCCCCGGTGCTTCAAAACGTGAATTTCCGTGGTGGACCATTTCTTACCCCTCCCTTACTAACGTGCGGGTGGTCAAAAGGGTGTAAAACGCATTAAGCGGAATGAAAGCAATATAAATTAACTACTACTACGTTAATTGATTAATTCGTCCCTTGGCGTGTTCCATATTCTTTTGCATGATTTTATAAAAGTTTATTCAACCTGTTACAAACATAAATGCAGAAGTTACAATTCTACCCCTATCGTCCCTTAACATTAGAATCTGTACGGGGTTCACAAGAAGGAGCAGAAGTGGTTATTACGTTTATCATGAGTCTTTGCGACTTGTTACTAGAGTAATTATTATTAATTATCTGAGTTACTATAAGGGGTCGTTTGATAATTATTGTTGTTTTGTAAGAAGTCAAACTAACTTCAGCGACATTATTTAATTGGTTATTTGGGGGGCAAAACTTTCTTGAATCCAGTAGGTGCACAGTGGTGCCTGACTTTTTTTGAGAGACTAGTCTCATTTAGCTTTTGTATTTGAGCATAAAGCATGGCCCACACTACAACCATAATCATAAATTATGTTCTAATATTGGTTCATTAATCATTAAACCGATGATATAGCAATACTATGCCAATTTTTTATAACTTATGGTCCATAAGTTATGGATATGACTCCACCATGAATAAAGTATAAAGTTCAAACTTCATCTACCTACTTTAAATAATCAGATTAAATTCCATATCCACAGAAATTACATAATTTGTTGCAAATTGGACATAATCTACAATTCATGGGGGGCATGAATCAAAATTTAATTAACAAATAAAATTGAGAGTCGATTGTATTTGCATTAATAAAGTATAAGAATTGATAAAGCACATGATACGATCTGAAAGTAAATTACTGACGCAACAGCAACTACGTCAAAATATCTAAATGCTACGCTACTGGTGGGGAGACCCCACCGCCTTTCATCTCGAAAACGTGAAAGTGATTTTGTTATTATACAACATCAAGTCTTTGTGCATTAACAAATGTTATGTAAATTTAAAATCAAACTAAAATTTAATTTAAGTTAGAGATCGCGGTACTTTAAAACGTTGACATTTTTTACCAGTGCGGTGCGCAACAAGGCTTGACAGGCAATCAATTGAACCCAATCTCCCGCCCAAATTTCAAAATGGACAATAAACAAGTTACACTAAGCGTCGACCTACTCAAGGAACGACAGAAATGTACATTTAATACATTGGAACTAACTTATTTATTGGATGGCGGACCAGAGCGCACCAAAGAGCGCAGGGAAAGAGGTTTGTGATTGATTTTTGCATTTCTGTTATACTTTTTCTATTGTTTTCCTTTAGCGTTAATTGTAATAGAATTAATAAATTTTCTTCCGCATTACTACAGACCAAAGTTCTTTGATACTGTTTTTCTGGATTAGTAATCCATTTATCATAAGTGAATTTAAAAAATCAGTATTTTTTTCATTATAAACTAGTTATTTTGGTATTTGGCAATAAATAGATATTTTGAATTTATAACAAATTGACAGTGTTGGATAGCATTGGAAAGGGTGCTTAATTAGGAAGCAAACGGATTATTGCCGATTGGGAAAAACTACATTATAAAAAATGAGACAATGTAAAACAAATCGATTTTTGATTTACATGTCTAACCAACCGACCCCCTATCGACGGCATTGCGCTTCCTCTGGAGCGATGTAAATAAATGAAACCACGTTTATAAAATCCTTAGGCTACGCTGTTCGTATTGCGCCCGCTTACTTTTAGTTCATCATCAATTCGTCATAAAGCAAAGAATTGATACGCGGACGCAACTGTTCTACTCCGGCTCATTGGATCTTAGGGATGTAGTTGTCTTTGATTTTTGCTCACGTGAAAAGAAATATTCAAAAACTTTTGTTGCAAAATTGTTTTTATAGCATTGGAGAAGATATGCATGTTACGAATCTAGACTTATTTGTTCCTTGCATACTATGATATTTTTTAATATGTGTGAAATATATATATACTGCTATTTTGACGAGATATCCAATGTAAATTGAATAGATCTGATAAACATTATCTTATGTATCAGCTAGATTAGATATCTCAAAGTAAAATAGTAAACTCATACATTCTAGGGTATCATATGTGCAATGAAATCGAGAATGAAATACCTCGTGAGATACTGACTAAAGTAATTATCATCATCCTCCGATTTCTAAACAATTTGTTTTTATAATGTTACTCAGACGCCAGCTTTACAGCAAAGTGTAGGGGAAGTTGGTACACTCTAGCTTCTTGTGCTCCAGTGGGGCTATGCAATTACCACTAGTACTTTTGTCTTTGACCATACTGCGATACAGTTACAAATATAATTTTATAGTTTATTACTTATTTCGTTGTCAGAAGTGCATTTTACGATTTTACTCCCGCCAGTCATACCGCATATACCTATGTAGGTGCTGCATTTATAAAAAGACACAGGAAGAAGAACCATTAAGCATTATCCATCAAACATTCTAACCGAAACTACTTTTAGATATTTGTACTTTAACCATGCATAAATCACACAAGCACAAGTTACGTAATCCTAAGATCCGTAAAACAAAAGGTTGTAGCTATGGCTCGTAAGCGACCTTTACTCTTATTCAGCGATATGCCATACTTGAGATATTCGCGTTTGAAGATTGACCAACCGAGTCACAATGATTGTCAAAAATTTATTCGCAATTGCTGAAATCCTACTAAGCTTTGAACTTCTCCGCGTTTCCTCCCACCCCCAGGACAGTTGCGTCTCGGGCCGGATATTTCAATTCCTTCTTGTACCCCGGTCTCGAGAGATTGGAGTATCCTTTCTTAGAGTACCATAAAGAATAGAAGCATGTTCATTATCCCCCTTTCCTGTGCCTCCTCTCCCTTACACTTGTCGAAAAGACTGGCCAAGGCAAGACTCACTCATCGAGACAATGCATAACGAAGACTAAGAAATATGCTTTGTCTAAAGGGACCTCATAAAGCCAAATCTTTCGCTAATAAAATGATACAAAGTGAGATCAAAGAACACAACTAATTATCGAACTTTGGAGACCTTCGACCTGAAATCCAACCCTCCTCGGACCAAAGGACATCTATACACCAAGCTTGAAGTCTCTAGTACCTTACCTTCAGTGTTATCACACAGACAGACAATAGTACGACTTCAAGCAGCTACTCGCCTGACTCGGTTGATAATGATTGACTCACAGGTTTGAATGGCACCACTAAGTACACAAATTAAACTTTATAGCTCTCCAAAGCAAACCTCTTTGATTTCACAAGTGCAGGCTAGTGCAAAAGTAGCAAACTGATGCACTCTAGCCCAGAATTTTATTAATCGCTACAAGCCAAAGTGACTACCACCACACTGTGGCACTTATGGTATAATAAGAAACCTGAAGTGATCTAGAATATCTCATGAACTAAAGTATTTGGTACTAAATATCCTAGCATTTTTCCATTTGCAAAAAAATGTTTTTGGACAGCAACACTTTGAGCAAAAAATTTCGCTTGGTAACACATCAAAAAATGGCGGAAGTCACGCCACTCTCATGTGTACCATTTTAATTTTTAATTTCACGTTTTGTGCCAATGCCATTTCAGATTATTATAACGTTCTCGAATATTTATAACGTACGAAGAAAATTAATGCGCATTACTGTCCACCATCATGTCAATAATGATTAAAATTGCATAAACGGCATGGAAAGATGCATAGTTTCATGTGTAAAAAATTCAAGAAATAAAATAAGTACATACCCATATAATAAAGAAATAATAATCCACATTTAGCACTGATGGTTGAGTTAGTCGAGTATATATTAAACTATAACAAATTAAGCACTTGTTGATAGAAAAAGCTTACTTGAAAACGCAAAAGTTGATGACGAGTGTTTTGGCGCGTACCAATTATGCACTAAAACAAAGAATAATTACGCTTTCATACGAAGCGATTTGATTGGCCATTGGATAACTACGCGGCGGTCAACAGTACAACAGTATTTTTTACCAAAACGAGGCACTGATGTTTTTAAAACAATTTGTTTCGATAGGTATTTATTAAAAAACCTTTTTATTAATTTGAATTGTATCGGTGATTATTAATACCGCCAATTAATAATAGAAACTTGTACTACGGATGATATTTTGGTCGCGCATGCGCTGAAGCTGCAGTCGCGCCAGTTTTTCTATTAATTTTTCTTCCTTCTACATTTTTCTATATAAATCGACTTCACCACAGTCTCTAAACTGTTATTGCATGGAACATAGGAAACAAAAATTATTTTATTATTATTATATTACTATTATTAATTAGTAGAATGAGTCCACTTTCCCCCACCTCTTTTTTTAAACAACTCTAAGTCTTCACATGGCAGTTGGATTGTAGCTGTTCGTTTGTCGGATTTGATTGTACTCTCATTTTTACCACCCGCACGTTAGTAAGAGGGGTAATGCATTGGGGTAAAAAAATGACCCCTCCCACTTTTTTTACGGAAATACACTAGGAATTTGAATCAAACAACATCTTGATGATGTCTGTCTGTCTGTCTATCTGTACTCTTATTTCCGGATAAACGAATGAACCGATTGGAACCAAATTTTGTACACATATTCTTAGATATAAAAGGAAGAGTTGCAAAGCTTTTGAGGAGCAATCTGTACTCTTATTTCCGGATAAACGAATGAACCGATTGGAACCAAATTTTGTACACATATTCCTCGACATATTCTTAGATATAAAAGGAAGAGTTGCAAAGCTTTTGAGGAGCAATCGTGCATGCGCAGGTTATAGTTAGGAGCTGATTTCATATTGTTATACGCTGTAGCCTTTTTAAATCCCTAAGAACTGTTAGTGATTGTAAATTATGCGCAGAGATAACTAATGTTTCCCAAAGCTTGTGGTTATGACCATTTCCCAAAATCTCAAAGTGTAAGCCGTACACACAAAACTAAACGTTTAACAATTACAATTTAGTAATTAATTAATAATTACATAGTATCATTCATTAAACAGGCCTTCCTATAGCACCTGTAGGTACAGTGTAATTTATTTGATATTTCTTTTTAGAGTCATATTTCTTGGACGACCCAGAACTAAAAAGTAGTATTCCAACAGAGTATTTAAGCCATAAAGAAAAATATGAGGAGGCTATACGAGTGTCATGTTTAATATTTAGGAAAGTTCTCCATCTGCAAGAGGAAGGCAAGGTTGGCATCGAGAATTTTCAGTAAGTTTCACAAACCGTAAAAACCATTTTCATGAATAAACATCTCTATAATTATAAAACCTATGAAAAAAAGCTTCATATAAAAGCTTCCCATTTTGATAAGACAAACTTGATGCCATAATTAAATCAAGGCGGCAGTTACTGATATTTCCTTTGTTAAATAGGTGCCCTATTGGATATTTACATGACTAAAGAAAATTTGATAATATTGTAACGGAAACGCTCCAGACATGACGTCGCCTTTGGCGCTCTGGAATTTTCTAGACGCGCGATGGTGGGGATGTTTGCAGCGTGTCTGGTAATTGCGCGAATGTTCTGGACTTACATTGCTTGCGTGTATAAATGGTAGCGGACCGAACATCGCGGCAGTCTACTACCGAACGAGATCGAGTACGTAAACATCGAGCGCGGAAATATAAATTGCGAAGTGTGTTATATAAATAATCGATATAAATTGTACGGTTTTTATAGTGTTTTAGTTTTGTTTAATAAATATTGATATAAATCGAACCCGAATTTATAAATCACGTTACAATATTTTTAAGGATGTTTTAAGTAGTTACTGCCAAAAAACCGAAACACCTAAACAATCCAATATGGCACCCAATTGAATATTCATAAAAAATCAACACTTTTGTAATGTAACAATAGATCTGAGTAGTCTTTGAACCTTTGAAATATTACAAACGTATATGAATGTGTATTTAGTTACAATAGTCATAGTCGGTTAATTAGTGGTAGGTACCTATATCCATATTGTGTACCTACAGTAAATACTTTATTGGGGGGTCGTCGTTCCCTTCACCTTTAAATATAGATCTAATTAGAAAAACCTTATGTACTACTTAAGTAGATCTCATTGGTCATTTAAAGTTATCCCCTACATCACAATCCAGGATTTATTCATTTTGCTATTTGGGAAACACCTACCCTTTACGGAAATTTTTTTTCAGACGTCAAATGTTGTGTGCAGATACTGAAATTAATGTAGATAAATGTTTTAGGGAAATTTTAGGTGGGCAGCTTGGATCATCCCTAATTAAAGATGGTAATCCATTGGCATTGCATTATGTTATGTACATACCTACGCTCATGGGACAGGGAACCTACCAACAGCAAGCAGAATGGATTCAAAAGGCGTGGAACTGTACAATGATTGGAACATATGCTCAAGTAATTGATTTCAAGTGAGTTAGTAGCTTAATGTTGCATATTGTTTAGACGGAGCTTGGTCATGGCACTTTTATAAGAGGCTTAGAAACTACAGCGACATACGACCAAGAGACTGAAGAATTTATTATAAACAGCCCTACACTGACGTCGTACAAGTGGTGGCCAGGAGGATGTTGGTTTATTGAATGCTAATAAGAGTAATAGTAACAGATTGCATTGCAGTGGGTCAGACTGCGAATTACGCGATTGTTGTGGCACAGCTCAACACTTTAGGGAAATGCTATGGTATTCATCCTTTCATTGTACAATTGAGAGATGAAGAAACGCACCAGCCTCTTCCGGGAGTAAAGATAGGTGAAATCGGATGTAAAATGGGGATGAATACGACAAATAATGGATATTTGGGCTTTGAAAATGTTCGAATACCTAGAAATCAAATGCTAATGAAAAATAATAAAGTGCTTAAGGTACGTTATATTTCCTTCCATTTATAATGCTCAGTATATGTCCACTCTAATAGAGTGAACAGTCTCCCAATAATAGGAGTGTGTACTTTTATTTACTATAATTGTAATACTACCCAAGTAATGTGTGTATTCTCTTAGGATGGAACGTATGTAGAATCGCCTAGTAGTAAATTAACTTATGGTACCATGATGTTCGTAAGAGTAGTGTTAGTCCAGGATGTTGCTAATTATCTTAAAAAGGCAGTAACCATAGCTGTTCGTTACAGTTGTGTAAGAAGACAATCACAGCCGAAACCTGAGTAAGTAATTAGGGATTTTTTTAAATGCCATTTTAGCATTCTCTTGAAGTGAACCGGAACCTCAGATAATAGACTATGTAACGCAACAGCATAAATTATTTCCAATCATTTCTACATACTTCGCTTTCCATTATTGTGCAGAATGGCTTTGGGATATGTATAATAATGTTAACTCTCAACTGGAAGCAGGACAATTAAGTCAGCTTCCTGAAGTAAGATGTCTACAAGGTTCACGACAATGATACTGAGCAGCCTATTTTCAGTTGCATGCCCTTGCTTGTTGTCTAAAAGCTGTTAGCACAAGTGATTGTTCAGCAGGAGTGGAGACATGTCGATTGGCATGTGGGGGACATGGTTATATGACTAGTTCTAATTTTCCATCCACGTACGGTTTAGTAACAGCTATGTGTACTTATGAAGGTGAAAATACAGTATTGTTACTTCAAACAGCGCGTTACCTAATGAAATCTTGGCAAAACAAAGTAGAAGGAATACAGTTGACTCCCACCGTCCTATACTTACAATCTGCACAGGCCTCAAATATAGTGTACAACCGTAACATTGATTGGATTATTACCGTAATGGAACAAGTGGCTGCTGGGTAAACACATCTACAACATTGCCATAACGCACCAATTTATTTTTAGCAAAGTAGAACTTGCATGGACCCATATGAATGAACGTATTAAAAAAGGATTAGGTGCGGAAGATGCATGGAATCACACATCTATAGAATTGGCAGCATGCGCGGAGGCACATTGTCGAGCCTTTGTCGTTCGCACATTTTACTCCGAAATAATGAGACTTAAATACACGATATCCGAACCTCTCAGAATTGTTCTGTTGCAGCTATTAGATCTGTATGGAGTAACAACTGCGTTAAAATGTCTAGGAGATTTATTAAGGGTAAGTGTTCATCATGAGTCTGAAATAGTGGTTTGGACAATTTTAATTGTTATTTTTAGTTTTCTGGCACCACTGGTAGTGACATAGAAAACCTCCAACAATGGTTAGAAGAACTTCTTTCTGCAATTAGGCCAAATGCTGTTTCAATTGTGGACAGCTTCGATATAAGGGACGAAGTTCTGTCATCTGCTTTGGGCGCTTATGATGGAAACGTTTATGAAAGATTATTTGCAGAAGCTACAAAGAGTCCTTTAAATGCTGAGCCGGTTAACAAATCATTCCGTCAACATTTAAAACCGTTCTTGAAATCACAATTATAAACTCATAAAGGATGTACGAGAAACATCACATTTTAGATATGTCTAATCACAAAATGATTTCAAATTCTGTTATTTATTTTAATACTCTTTACCATGACCTGATTTTGTGAACGTTATGTTAGTAGTAGTAGTAGTAGTTAGATCAGGGTAAATATGATGCATTCCATTTGATGTAAGTTCGGTAGTTCCAAATTGTTTCTTCCCTGTAGCGATAAGTAGTTGAATTTTTGTTGTTGTACTACTCCCAATATTGAACGGGTAAACTTACTGTTGTCATCACATTTGATACTAATTTTTCTATTGGTGTATATTTTATAGTATATTATATATGGATGTTTACTATTTGTACTTATTTATCTTAAACAGAGCTGGGCAAGAAGACTTTCAAAAAGTATTTGAATACTAAATAGTAAATGCTTTACACAAATCAAAGGTATTTGAATACTAAATACTTTTACGTCCAGCACAAGCGAATACTAGATACAGATACATTGAAAAGTATTCAAATACTTTAAAAAATAAGTATTCAAATACTTTAGAATGTATTCGAATACTTTCAAAAGTATTCGAATACTTTCAAAGGTATTCGAATACTTTCAAAAGTATTCTAATACTATCAAAGGTATTCGAATACTATAAAAAGTATTCGAATACTTTGAAAAGTATTTCATTATCTTACTTTGAAAAGTATTCGAATACAGTAAAAAGTATTCAAGTACTTGTCACTCAAATACATTAAAAATTTAAAATAGTATACTAGATAAAAAGCTTAATACTACTTAAAAAATCAAGTTATACTTTGTATGGGGTTAGCTTTTTTTATATTTCTAGATCGAGTTCGGTATTCAGATGTATCGGATTTTTATATTTGATTTTGTGACAATGGAAACTTTCCCTAAACATTTCTAAATTGTTCTCAAATATTTGAATAACTTAAAAGTACTGCCTTTTTTTGAGGCCGGAAAAAAAATTGTCTGAGATCGACCGGGAAAACATTTTCTTATAGAATTTGGCCCGTAGAATCCATAATTTCAAACAGTTCCAAGATTGGGCTACTAGTTCAAAAGTTACAGCCCTTTGAATTTTCTTTCGAAATTGGTTTCTAGTCTATAAGTTTTGATTGAGAAGTCTGATCGAAAAAGTACGAATTGTTTTGGATTCTACGCACCAAAATTAATAAGAAAAAGTGTTTTCCCGAGAAATTTTGGTGTAGTCGATTTTTGATAAAAAAGGAAGGTGTTGTTACACTGCCTTTTTTTGAGGCCCGCAAAAAAATTGTCTCAGATCGACCCGGAAAAAAAATTTTCTTATAGAATGTGGCCTGTAGAATCCATAATTTCAAACAGTTGCAAGATTGGGCTACTAGTTCAAAAGTTACAGCCCTTTGAATTTTCTTTCGAAATTGGTTTCTAGTCTATAACTTTTGATTGAAAAGTCTGATCGAAAAAGTACGAATTGTTTTGGATTCTACGCACCAAAATTAATAAGAAAAAGTGTTTTCCCGAGAAATTTTGGAGTAGTCGATTTTTGGTAAAAAAAAAGGAAGGTTACGTATTCAAATACTATGCGAAGTATTCGAATACTTCTCAAAGTAGCCAAATACTTTGCGAAGTATTCGAATACTAAATATTTGTGAAAGTATTGGGTTACAAATTCAAATACTGCTTCCATAAAAGTATTTAATTACAAAGTATTTGAATACTTTAAAGGATTTGAATACTAAAAAGTATTTACAAAATCGAATACTGCCCAGCTCTGATCTTAAATACCTCGCATCCAGAGCTACCTGATGGAACAACTAGATCAGTATCAGTCAGATGGTTGGCGTCGTGATAGTCTGGGTTGGACCTGCATTCTTGCACTGACATAACGTTTTTTCAGACCTGCATAAAAGAAACATTTCGGAAACATTAAGAACTGGCAGAAGTGCCTTACCTCTAAAATTAATTGTCCTAGGACCTAGATCAATTGGAAAATGAATATTTCTGAAAAATATAGCCTGAAGAGTGTCTTGCCTTTAAATAAGCTAATGGAAAGTCGACTTATCTTAGATCGACGTGGGAGATTTACATGCTTTTCCTATGGAAAACGGTGGCGCCGTTCTAAATCTTTATTATTTCTACATGAATGTTGGATTCTATATTAAAGTTTGTCTGTTTAGATACCCATCTTTTAAAAAAAAATAGCGCACATCTGATTTTTACAATATGTGATATGCTTGCCTTTATGAGAAGCATATGTGGTTAATAACTCCATAAATAAGAAAAATGGCATTGCGCAATATGGGCATGCGCACATTAATCGTCAAGATTTTTCATGGTTGAGGTGCCAGAGCTAAGCTACCGAATGCAAAAAAAACGAACTAAATATATTGAGAACTGCAGGAGTGGTTAAGACCTTGGATGGACAGAAATATTAATTAAGTGTACAGCTACGTGGACCACTCCTACAGCTCTAACAGAGGTCAAAGCCGAACTTTATCTCCATTAGACTGAAAATTAAGTAACTAGTGATTATATTATAGACGCCACTGTCGCACAGGAACACTCACCCTTTTGTAACGCCTCGTTACTGACAGAGGAATATTTTCCATTGAGGGTGGTGAGGTCAAAGACTTCCACTCCTTTCCTGTTGCTGTAATTTGAGTACATCCAGCAATATTGTGGTGTAGTATGGTCCACAGAGCTTCAATGCCATCATTGCATGGTAGGAGGGGTGCGCAATATAACACTCCCTTGTTCATGTATATTGTCGCGATTTTAATTAAGGTCCCCTTTATATAGGTTGAGTCGATTCTCTCTTTCTCTATTGTAGAATATCGTTTTCCTGCAGTAACAGTAAGTAAGTGTAACAAGACGTAGCGTTTTTTTTTCGTTTTGTCCCTGGACGACACCAAGTGCATACCTACTTTATTCGTTGATGTGAAGGGCAGCATGAAAAGAACAGTGCTCTTGGTGAGCAGATATTTTTTAATTTCTGCAAGGCAAATTATAATATTACAACTAGAACTGGCGAGGAAAACGCTCAGTGCCCAGAAAGGTCTCATGGAAGACAATAAAGTACATGAATTTCAAGTAGCAGTAATTCCAGCAATATCGTCTGATTCAGAGCAGTATTTCTTATCTTCGAAGACATTATTGATAGTGTATACAACCCTATCTATCTGCTCAATTGTGGAATGCGCAATTCGAAACTCAAATTGGGGTTCTTGTATGAGGTCTTCAACGTCAAGGATTAGAGAGTCTTTTCAGTAATAATCGTTCGAAAAGTCTCGAAAGCAGTGGTAGCAAACTTATTGGTCTGTAAGAACTTGGGTTGTTGATTAGTTTTCCAGGCCTCTGGATAAGAACCACTTGGGTAAATTTCCATTGATCTGGAAAGATTCTAGTCCATAGAATGCTATTGAAGACTAGTAGGGTTTGTCGGTGCGGGGGAGGGGGGGGCTCCTTCAGTATTCGCCCAGTGATAAGGTCATATAGCCATTGAATTTATAACTATCAGAAGCGCGGACCCCATATCCGGACTTGCAGCCGCTAGGGGCAGTTCGATCGTTTGAAAGTCCGTGGGCGATCCAAAGTGGAGCGTTACATTGAAACTGTAAGTATTGTCCCTAGGCTCCCAGACATTAGATGGCAGCATTACAAACTATTTTGACCATTCGAATGTTTTCCCTTTTAAGGAAGAGGAACCTTTCTTCCTGTTTTATTTTGCAAAACAATTGTTGCCATTGCAAATTTAATGACGATCGAGGTGCAATTTGCGGTTGCGATTGAGTATTCCAGTACATCTAGGGTCGAGGTTGTGTGAATGTCTCCGAGTATTATTATTCGACAGCACATTTTGGTATGTATACCAGGCCTTTTCTTGCACTTATCGCATTTGTAATTCACTGACCGAAAGCTCAGCTCAACTTTAATCCGTGAAAATCAAACACTTACTGGGTACTTCTATCATTTGGGCTGCTCAGTTAAACAATACAGTAGCAAGAGATAGAGGTAGTGAAGCCTTGGAAATATAAATGTAAGAATTGAAACCAATGGGGTTAATAAATGCAATCATTATCTGTGTATGTTATGGAATTAACTCACCAGGCCAATAACATGCAACGATCTATCTATACTCTACATACTTCCAAGACACACCCAACATAAATTTCCAACTTGCAAACATGTCAAATCCCGTTAGCCACCAAATCATGTACGACCCGATTAGTTTAAATAAATGACATTAGACAACTTTTTGTGGGCATTTATTTACAACATGTTATTCTAATTATTAATACTATACAATGTAATTCCGAAGTTATCTACCTTCCATTTGTATAATAAAAAAAGTGAAACAGTAGGTATATCAAGATTAATAAAAATATATTCCATAAAACACAAAATAGTTAAAACAATAAATATGTATACTATCCATTAAAAAATTACAGTCGTGATAGAAAATGCTACGAGCTTAGAGGTTAATTTTAAAGGCAGCATTTACTATACACCAAAAGCTGTAAATTACGGAAATGTTTTTCGACAAGAGGAAGTACAGAATTACCAAAGGCCAGAGATTTGGTCCGAAATCTCTCTGAAACCCAAAGAACTGCCCAAATTTTGCACTGCTCACATTTCCCCATAATATCAAATTTCAACGACTGGCAATTTGATTGTAAAAAATTTTACTTAGCAGTAAGGAATGTATTATAAATAAGAAAGCTATTTTAAGGTGAGCACGTGTAAAATTTTTGACAGTGTTGAAGATACATGGAACTCATCTACAATAAGTAATAATACGACGATTATTTGTTACAATTTATTACATAGGTACTTTTTTGTTTGAGCATATAGTACGATTTAAAGATAAAAATTGCAATGAAATAGCTTATGTAATTATTACTTTTTTTTTTATAATTTAAGCCAATTAAATTGTGTATTCTTTACACATACTTATCTATCTTCTAAAGATTGGAATTAAAGAGTCTTACTCAATTCACCTGAGATTGATTTAGCCAATCAAACTTCAGATTGAAAGGGCGACGATAACAAAATTACTAAAAAATTTCACAGTCTTTATTCACGAGATGCACTTGCACAGTCTTCTTCAAATTGGGAGTAGCAATAATCGGCCATGGTCACAATTGTAATCATCCAATCTTTAAAAGAAAGTGACTACTTTTTCCATTAAACGGTTCTGTACAGTTGAGACAGTATAATCGCTTTATTAGTACTATATACCCAAAGGTATATTGGACGAACAACATTCAGTTAGTTTCAGTATGATATATACACGCAATTCAACATGGAACATGTGATGGTAAAGTGATGTTGAATTAAAAATTTGAATCATTCACACCATGGCAGTTATGAGCGATTAGACCGAACAGCATTTTTAAAATAAAAAAATAATTTAGAAAAATTATATAAAACTGTTACATTCCATATAAATAAAATCATTTTCATGTGCGCTTGATTTGTTGAGTATGTATATTTCATTATTATATACTTGATATCGATATTGAAGCTGCACTACAAGCATGGCAGAGATTCAGTCATTAGCGTATCCACCCGATTATTCAACAGTAGACCACCAAGTAAGTCCATTATGAAAAACTACACCTTTTTTGTTCAAGCATAAAACTCTCTATTATTGCCCTTACTGTACGAATTGGACGTTGGAGACCGCTTAGGCTCGTCTAATGCATATGAACCTTCGTCCTTCTTCCTCATTCTATATACAATAAACATTACCACTAGTATGGCACACAACAAACCAACCACAGCACCACCAACGATCGCTGAAAACACACATGTCAGTCTAATTACCGATTAATGCAGTACCTCACCTGCTATGATGTCCGGCTGATTGAAGAATGGAGGTCTGTCGTTCTGGTCTGAATTCATAATTGAAACTCCTGGTCCGCCACTATTGTGCAGTTTTCGATTTTCGGAGTCTTGTGTTTTCGTAACTATATCTTGGTTCGAGTTCTTCTGCACTGGTACTTGTGTTGTTTCCACAGGTGTTATCTTCTTCACTACTTCAACTGGAAAATAAAGTGCCATTAGTACCAAACTAAGGGATACCTATAGACAGTTTAAATGAGTTGTATTTTGCCATAATTTGGAAGCTTCTCCAACTCCACCCTTTTTGAAGCGTGGCACCCTAACAGGCGCGTCCCCAGGTGGCGGAACCAAAGACAGCATCGTGGACCAGCTACCCCGCCCATCTGTCATATCATGGCCAAGGGTTTGCACGAAACCTGGCGAGCTCAGGACAGGGGTCTCGGCTTTACCGCCCGGACGAAAAATGACATCAAACTCCTCTCCAAGACGAAGGCGGAGGCAGAGGAGGTGGCAAATATGGAGTGCGACTAGGCCACAGCAGTTGAGGGGCCCTTTTACTATTTTATCAATGGTAAAAGTAGCACAAATTTATTTGCATCACAGCAGGGCTGCATCTGCATACATGAGCAAACATCAGCCCTAGTACAAGAACCTTGGGCCTATTGAGCCTACTGAAATCAATCTCACATCGTGCATCTTAGCTAGGAATAGCGTTAAGATACTACCACTATGGGATTTTTATTGCAGAGACCTGGTGGGAAGGGATCGGAGGGAGAGAGGGCTTGTACTCGGATCCGCATACCTCCATTACGATCAACCTTATTCACCACCAACCACAAGAATTAGCAAACTGGTGGAACACGGGTGGCAACTCCTTCTCAGATATGATGCCAATGCACACCACACTGTATGGGGCAGCACTGACATCGATAGAAGAGGTGAGTCTCTCCTAGATTATTCGTTATTCATCATTAATAGACGAAGGGAGGTAATTGACATAACGTTTGGAACTATGGCTGCCTGTAGCTCAGTACACAACCTATCTGAGAAGAACAAACTAAGACTTCCATAGAGAGAGTCCAAAGATCAACCTCGAGAACTGTCCTGCATGAGTCAATAAGTTGGCGGAACTGAACCTCATGGAATCAAACCTTCGCAAGTTGTCTCACCAAAGAGGAGAACCTAAAATAAAACGCCCTGGTGGTACGAGGGACTCTCTCAATTGCAGGCACAAACTAGGTTTTTTTATAAAGCAAAAAACATGGACCGAACTACACTCACCTAATGCAATAAGGCCATAAAAAAGGCAAAACGTGACTTGTGGAGGAGATACTGCGGAAATTGAGCGAATTCCAGAAGGTGCCAGACTCCAAAAGAGCCTTACAAAAAGGAACAGAGGGTAGAATCGGTTACTTGAAGGAAATTGAGAGAGACCGCAAAGGAAACCTTGGAACTTTGGCTTCAGTTACACTTTCCTTGATCAAAGACCCTCGCTAAAAATGATGCAGGTGAACCAATTACTCTGGAACCACTTCTCAGGGGGAACAAATGAGATTGGGTTTTGACTGGACATATAGTGAACTTAAAAAAGTTAGTCAGACGGGCAGTATTTCATATTTAATTCATTTCTAAATGTTTTGGTTTTGAAGTACAAGTACTACAACAATAAGGTACTAACAATGAGCAATCATATGGTTGTATTTGTGTAACAAAAAATATTTCAATTTTCTTGAATGGAATTTGTACGCGTTTTTTCCAAAAGTATGCAGCATTTTTACATTCAAAATCAAAATCGCTTAATAACTTGAAATTGCCGATATGGGTATGTTCCAAAAACTTACCAACACAAACGTCCAAATTTTGCTTTGAAAATATAGGTAATAAAAAGCAAAGTGTTTAAGCAACTCACAGTCACTACTGTATTTGATTCACTGGTTTCACCTTTTCATATTTATTGCCAGATCATTACCACTAAAATACAATTAATATTGGTCATTGTAATGGAAATTTAATGATGTTGTTTTCGACCATAATTTCACAATGAACTTGAAAACGTGGGAAAAATGGAAAACATGAAATCTGTTTTTTTGTGAGACAATCGGTCAAGTACCTTAATACTCACTTATTACTTTAAATTCGCCTTTTGATGTTGAATAATTACCCCTTTACCATCGTTTTGCACGCAAACAAAATTGCGGTGGAACTTTGAAAGTAGACATACATCAGTTTATATTGTATTGTTGTCTGCATCACTGTCAGGCGCTTTCTAAAGCAAATGATATTTGATATAAATCTCTTGGGAGGCATTCAAATATATGTCAACAAGCATGATTTGTGTAGTCCTATGCAAGTCAAGAAACTGACGTCCTATTCATGCACAACATGTTGAATGTGCTTTCGTCAGTTACCTTAGAATTTATAAAGGAAAAGATCAATGTATCCCTAGATACATAAAATGACAGACCAGTAAACCACTAAACTTTTTCGCGATTCGAAATAGAAGTGGCGAACTATTTTTATCAGTGACAAGACAGTAATCCAGCATTTTCAATTGGGTATACAATGAGGTAAACCACATCCTCTATGACTACCCATTTTTTATCTAGTACACTTACTGACTGTGTGAGAATTATGATCGCAATGTACTAAAACTAGCGAATTAGTCCATTCAAAAACCATAAGGAGTGCGGCGGCACCCCAGCTGTTTTTCATTGCTAACTATCTTTTTTTTTATAACACTTTGGTTTGGTGCTTATGTTTTATTGTGAGTTTATTCATTTGATGAAAAATCAAAAAACAGTATATTGCTGATGTATACATACATTTAATTTTTAAAATTCAGATAGTTATTATCTTTGCTACCATCATAGATGCTACCCCAGCTTTCGTAAGGTAATAACTGTATTGAAGAATTACTTGACTAACCCATCCCCCTTGTGAAAAATAAGCACGAAACTCAATTTTTACTAGTGCATTCGAATTACAAACATATGTTGATGTCCTTAAAAAACCATAAATCATTTCTGGAGCGAATTTATCGGGCTCGAATATTCCGGAGGTGTAGTATGTCGGAGGCGAATTTACCTGTGAGGGGAGAAAATATCTTTAACGAAATTCGCCAGACTCGGTTCAACATTAACTTTTATCTAAGGGATGATCGGAGCGATGAAAACTCTTTGTACATAGATATTACATTATCTTTTAATAATTTGTGGATAACAATATTGCTATCGACATAAGAAAATCGCCAAACACGTTTCTAGGAGCAAAAGGGGGACTCAACCTCATCAACTCCACACAAACGTACCCTATGCTACTATGGTAAAAAGATCCAAATGCCAATAATACTTTGTTTTCAATGAAAAGTGTCCGTAAGTACGATATGTTATTAAATAAAAACTAATTTTTAGTTGGGGTAGGTGGGTATAATGGCGGTGAGTTCGTTATGATGTTATTTTTTTAGTTCCCCCTTTGTACACAACGTTTTGAGCGTTTGTTCAAATCATCTAGTCACTAGTGTATTCACCTTCGTTGTGTTGTAGTAGAAGTAGGAATAATAGTTTTGTAATTTTGTTTATTCAAATGTGCCTCTCTTTTCTACAAAATATGTACAGGGTGGTCTATTTATCTAGAAGACCGCCAATTATTAGAAAAACTAACCAGATCAGAAAATGAAACTGTCCCTTAAAGGTCAGATGAAGAGCTTAATTTTTTCTAGTAAACCTACACTTTTTACTACATTTCCCTATTTTAAGATATCACAAAATATGCACGTGTTTATTAAAAAAGTCTGGACGCCGAGGGAAAATGATGTGTTTGTGAATTGAGTGCACTTAAAGTTTGGCATTGCATATGAATAAATTAATGTTTGCCTATCTGGCTGTCTCTTATGTGTGCCTAAATCGTTCATCCGATTGAGACGAAATTCTCCGAAATTCCCACGGGAGCGTGAAAAAATGAGACTTTACGTTTTTCAGTCGAAAAGCGAACGTAAGTTTGTTTGAAGCCGAAGTTCGCAGGGACTACTAGTATTCCATAAAATGTGTGTATGTATTTCTGTTTGAAAACATTAAATTGCCCTACACTTGACCCTTAGACATGCTACTTGAAAATGGGTGAGCATCATTAAATGGTCCATTTACCCCTCCATATGAAGAATATTTTATATAAATCATTTCTTGATATCCCCGCTAGTTTCCGTAGTAATCGTCAAGATAAATTGGCCACTCTGTACTTATATATTGAGTTTTTTAAGTGAACATACAATGCTATTATCCCTACGTTCACTAAAAAAAACACATCAGCCTAATATATCATGAACACGCGTGTCAGAAACTGAACCAATTTTTATTAATACTTCTCAGTCATTGATGGCTCAGTGAAATATTCCATTTCAACAGAGTTCAATATGTACTTCAATGGAAATAATTGCAATAAATATACACCAAACGATTATTAGCATTTCATGCAAATATGCGATCTCTTAATTTTTGTGTATTTTCTATCTCAACATTATTATACACCTTGGATTTAAGATCTGGTGAACATGGAGGTCAAATTAAGGGGTCGAATCTTCACATCCAATGGCTCAGTAAATTTTGGAAACGTAACAAGTGCTGTAGAATGCGGGGGAGCCCCATACATCCTCAACATTCAAGTTCTGTAATTGGGAGTTATAAAAACTTGGTGGAATTGAGATTTCCGAATGGACCAATAAGAACATTTTCTATTATTTCTGCCCAATCGTTTAATCTTGCGTTGTATTGAGTATTGGTTAGATTTGATAGATACAAATAATAAAGGAACTGTAAGGAAAATTGAATGTGTAGTAGTGATCTTTACAAACCAATCATTGTGGGAAATTACAGTGTTATATCATTCTGCTGTAAACACTATTTTCCTTAAAATATCATACTTTCACAACAAACTGTACCTTTATCCTTATCTTCATCATAGACCTGCCGATGATAAAAAAGATCTGTATACCTAGTGTTCCGTTTTGTATTAATATTGAATTTGAATCTTTGTGACCACTCGAGAGTTTTGTTTACCAAGACTCACAGTTTCGTCTCGGTCAAAAATCGAGACGAGACGAGACCTAGTTACGTCTCGGAAGCACCATTATTGTAAAAGTGTTAGCAATGGGTTTCCTATGTTATAAAATAGCAAACCAATGCCATGACATCCGGTTTCGTAGCAATATCTCTTGCTATTTCTTCTTTCCTCATGGAGTCCACTTCATGGCTAAAACACCATAGTTAATTGATGTCATATAAAATAATACAATGGCATTACTACAATGACCACAGAATTCATTTATGGTACATACCACTATGCAAGTGAAACAAACACAAATATTCTCGGGTTCAGCTACCAGACAAAATGTGTCAATGGAATAGGGGTAGAAGTAGACGATGGAGAAATTACAAACGTATAAAAACTACACCACGAAACAGCTCAATTCACTTAATTGATGGAAATTTTACACGTACCGAAAACGACTTTTGGGAAAAAACCAAACACATTTGCTAACTAGCACGTTTGGAAACAAGCCAAAAAAAGCTCCGAGTAACATAGTGTAAAATTAATAAGCCTTGTCTTGAGATGAGGTCACGTATTCTTTAGTACACTGGAATGAGGCGAATTCAAGGAATCTGGAGAAAACGTAACGGAAAAGTTAAATGAGTATCTTCTTTCATTTTTTCCAAGGAAGGTTATTTATTATATACGTGCCAATGTTTACATTTACATAATTGCTATACGTCGGACGGAAAAAAAATGTCAAGCGGTTAATTGCCTCGTCATAATGTAATGAAATTTCCTTACCATGATTATGGTCCTCGTCGTCGTCGTCGTAAGGCGAAGGACCATGTCCTGATCCACTGGCCTCTACCAAGTCGCGGGATACTTCTTTTCCACCACCGCCGCTACCTTCAAGATCTGCATCGATATCAATTGCGTCATTGTACTTATACGAGCGGTCTGTGCTACTCTGTAAATAAACACCGCAATTAGCATTTGGAGCGATAAGCCTTACTGTTTATGATGTATGGATATTTACACGATCATTAAAAATAGTGCTCTCACTGCTTTAGTCAATACGAAGTACTTTCATCGTTACTAATTATACAGTTTTATGACAAAAAAATCACCGGCCACCGTCTTTAAGCACTACTAACACGAAATAGGTATACGACAAAATGCGGAAATAAGGGTGGAAATGGCGACCAGGAGCGGTAAGAATCAATACTGGGGGCGGTGCTGCTGCCATACCATCCAACCCTGTGCAGGTACCTTACCGCTTTAATCGAGTTATACTTTCCTTGCTTTTATTTTACAATATAATTAATTATTACCGAACAGAATAATAAAACAACCATTATGCCAATTAAGTCACAATAATTTCCCAGGCGTGTAATTCTAGCGTAACGAAATGGAAATACATAATAAATTCAAATTTGCTAATTTGAGAAGTTGAAAAATGTGCCAAAAAGACGCAACCTCAATGCCACAACGAGTAGTAATATTTTTATGACCGTCATAACTATAAGGAATCTGTACGCGAAACGTTAGGTTTTTAATTTAAAATCGATTCATTCAGTAGACCCGTTCCGTTCTAAATGAGCAAGATTGGAATGTGGTTAACGTTGCCAAAATCCTGATAACTTGTGAGGTATGGTCTGCACGTGTCATTGTAAAAATGCAGGCGGTAGCAATCGAAAATCAGTGTAAGGGGAACTTTTGACAATACCTAACAATTTAATTAGACACGCGTGTGGTGGTGATCGATCCTTCATCCACGAAGAAACACGAAATTGAAAAAGATTTTGACAATAAAAGTGACACGAGTGAACGAAATTGCGATTTTTTTAGAGAAGTCGACTTTTGATACGGCTGATATTCGATAGTACCGATCACCGGGTTGTAGGCAAATGTTTTAAGATCGGTGATCAGAATAAACAAGCAACAGATAGACGGACGGACAAAAAGGAACTTTCACATAAATCTGACAGAATATTGTCAGAAGACGAAGAAGCACGTTTTAGATAAAAGTCAACATACCGGAAGAGATTCAAAGAAAGTCACAAAGATCAAATAGTCAAGGAAACAAGTTGACTTGAAAGGTAAAGACTAACGACTCGCCTGAAGTTACCAATAGATTTGCATATTATATAAGCAGTTAATACTACCTACTGAGCCATAAATATTTAAACAATACAGTAAACATAAAAAATTATACCTAAATCATTAATCCATCAATTCATCAGCCATCAGACTTTTCCTATTACCACCACCACTACATAAGTTGATATAGTTTTTAGGTTTTTTGTCGAAATTTTGACTCTCAATATCAACAATCGCTTTATATTAGAAGCGGCGGAAAGAAAGAAAAAGTTGGTACTTTAAAAGTGAAGTTACGCCATTAGTGGTAGCGGTGTCAAATTGTGTGATACGATTTGTATATTTTTTGGTGCCTGAAATTTGTATTCCAATATCAAAAATCGCTTGCTATTAAAAGCCATAGAACCGAGTCAGTGATGTAGCTACGGATAACGCGGTTTGGGGTAGTTTTTCTTTAGCCTAGAATCAACAATCTTTATCCAACTTAATTTATCAAAGAAGGAAATTCATACAAGTATCAACTTATCAAACAAGTAAAAAATTCTTAAAAACCTACGCCCTCTACTGCCTGCCTAAAGACCCGGTCAAAAGTAACTCGAAATGTTTAATAATTATGAAATAAGCTGTTTAAATTTAAACCAATATAGACAACGCGCGACAAACAGACGGACTGACAGAAAGTCCAAATGACCAAAATTTAATCAGTTAGTCTCTAGACCATTGTCTACCTATTACTGAAAACATTTTTTTAGAAAACGCAATTTTTAGACGATATTTTGAAAATCTCTATAGATATTTTTAATTGCGTTACATGTGATTGGGTGTGATTTTCTTTAATTCCCTCTCCTCACCTTTATCAAAACAAAAAACGCTTTCACAACCTGAAATAACATACACCCCATCAAATAAAAGCTGATAAATCCTATTCATGTTTCAAAAAAATGATATTTGGGTATCGGTTTTCTACCAACTTAATCTGGACTTTTAACTAAAGAGAATTAGTTTCTTATTTGAGATTTTGATTAAAGAAATAAATAGTTTTGTAAAAGGTAGCGAAAATTGGTCATCACACTTGCTTGTACTATCAAAAACGTCAATTCTGGTAGGCTATATAAACCTGCAGACTTCACGTTACATAGTATTTCACGAATACGCCGCCGAAAGGGCACGACCATAAGGGCGCGAGACACAAGGGCGCGTGGACAAAAGGGCGCGAGACAAATGGGCGCGGGACATAAGGGCGCGAGGACATTATAGATAGGAATTGCACGAATTTCAAAATAGGCATAGCCGACACCATACAATAGGCGACGCCAAAATTTGGGTTTGATAGATTCAAAATTCACAATGCCTTTTTGACTGCTGGGCCATTTCTGAAAATATTTGAAAGGGAACGGTTGAACCGATTAAGCTGAAATCTATCTATTCGGTGGTGGAGTTAAAATTTCAAACGCAATTTGCGGGTGAACGGGATGTCGGAATTTGGTACCGGTACCAAAGGCAAACTTGTGATTCTCGACGATGCTACAAAAGTCAGCAAATTAATTTAGTAATTTTTAATTAAAGAAAATGAAGATGTAACATTTCACTTTTCCATTTCCCAAGAGCAAGGTGGTCGCGATGAAAAATAAATTTGGGATACAACCGGATTTATCCATTTCGCAGTTTGGCAATATTAGAATTCATTTCGACTATTTTTGGCAAAAAACGAAAATTGGAAACTGTTGGTTTCAACAAGATAGTGCACCCAGGGATATAAAAGATGTAACCCAACTTTTGGCATTACGCATTATATGTTTGTGGTATCTTGAACGCCCTGTGTAATGACTGTTGATATAACATATCAACACAAACAAACTACAATATACTTTTTAGGGAATCCTGTATCCCGCGCCCATATGTCCTCGCGCCCTTATGTCCCGCGCCCATATGTCTCGCGCCCTAACGGCCGCGCCCTTTCGGTCGCGCCCTAATGTCCGGGTCCGTATTGGGTATGTGCATTAGGTCGGTCGACCTGACTCAAACACAATTCTCATTGTCCTCCGTCAATGCTGAGGGATTCAACTGACTCACTCTTCATACGGGGTTGTTTGAATCGATCCTAAGAATCCTTTTAACGACTTAAGCCTGGTTTATTTGGAACTTTAAGGGCCCGAGAACAAGATTCCATGATACATATGATATTTACGTTTTATAAATACGGAACTAATAACAAATGTTAAGATTAAATTTTGTTTATAGCCTTCAGTTCTCAAGCTACAATAACCTACAAATTGAGTACAATCCTCACGAGTGCTATTGATCAAATGTAGTGGCAGTACGAAATTAGGGCATACATTTTCAACGCTATCTAGATTTTAACTCTATTTTTCTACCAATGAGTTATTAACATTATCGGGGCTGTATATGCGCTGTATAAATAATTCTGCCTATTCGAATATCCTGGGGAAAAGCAATTTACGCTCCCGGGCATTTTTATTAAAGCCTCTTTAGTTTAATGACGATTGCGGAAATCGATAGCATTAGAATGTTAAACCAATTTTGAAACTTCGATAATTAAATTATAAGCAATTACACGCATTAATTCGATGAATGGTATTGGTGTACGGTTATATCGCATAAAGTTTGTAATTCTCTATAGCAAGTATAGAGCACCGACTATAGAACGTTAAATGCATTCGACAATTAAAAGAGAGTGCCCTACGCAAGCCCGCCATTTGATAGCGTACCTACTTTAATTCAATTTGCGTTAACAATATTTACACAACATTTTCATACTCGATATACAAGGACGGAATTCGAAATTCATGTAAATTTACGTTTATAGCTGATTTAGGCTCAATTAGACCAGCTCCTCCTAAAAGATGCATAGGTAATAAATGCATTACTTGCAAAAACCATCGTGGATATTGTGATCAACTCTTTACACATAAACATTTAAAGGCCGCCTGGCTCGTTATAAATCTACCTCGAGATCTACGCTATATAATGCAAGAAGAAGCCCTTAGAGAAGTCCTCCATAATAATGCATTCCTTCTCCCGACACGAATCGCAAATTAATTATAAATGTGTCTCGTTCAGACGTTTCACTTACCCTTTATGAGTATTCTTCCAAACTTCCTAATCACCCTTTGTGAGCGATTTTGTTTTGTTTGTGAGTACGCTCGTCCGACACTCCGATATTGAGATGTGAGAAATAACCGATCTCGATCTCAGAGATCGAGGAAGAGGACTGTGCTTGGTAGAAATTAATTCCTTCCATCGAGACCTTTCGTTAGAGTACCATGAACCCCCCGATTTTGATAAGGTGCGAGGGAGAAGGGCGGTAGTTGGTAGAAAACAGTTCTTTTCGTTGAAACCTAATTAGAATACCATGAAAGGTAAAAAATCAATTTCTAACAAACCCCCTTTCCCCTCACCCACTGAGGCCGCGGAGAAAAGTTCGTAGAAACCAGTTCGTTTCTATGACACCTTTCAACCTCCTTGAAGTGTAGGACGTGCCCCCCCCCCCCTCCTATGTTCAAGTCTTATTTGGCACTAGGGGCATGCGTATGCCAAATCTGAGACTAAATCGCGAATTGGTAAACCACGGGCGCGTCATTGAAGGGTTGAAATTTGTAATTAGAGTTCAATAGAATGCTCCAAGACGGCACTGTACCCTGTTCGACATATCCATGACTTTACCCATCGTATTCGCGCTGGGGAAGTCGGTGTAATCTTTTTCACCTTTAGGCACCCCGTCCCGGATTACCACCGACCCGGCACGGCAATTCGAATCCACCCTCTTTAAATCTCTCGACCTCTCTTCTGGATTCCAGCAAAATCGTATAAAATATCCGAAGACAATTTTTTTCAAATTTCGGACATTTT